CGATACCTCTGATGACATGGTGCAAACAGCGGTCGCGGTACTTTATGTTACGTTAGAATGCTAACTTTTGGTGAATGTAGGAGAAATGTACAGACGCAAATAGACAAACTATAGTAAAATAAACACTTAAATGTGTATTTTGTACATTTTCCTTCCAAAAGCCTGAAAGAAAACATGTTATGGAATCAAAATAGCACAAAATCTCAAAATTGACCAGTGCAGGAAAACGATGTTTTTGCCTGCCGTGTCTCGCCTTAAAGAGACCCAACTAGGTTTCTCCAATGCAAGAACGTCCTGGTTTTATTTGTTAACTGTAAAACGTGTTCTGGTTTTGGACTAGTTGCTGATTAAATAAGGAACCGTTAGCTTCACCTCTGGGAACTCAATGGACATTACTCAATACTAAACACTGTTAATCAAGAGGATCAACGACATAGTGATGGGAATTACGGCTCTTTGAAGGGAAGCCGGATCTTATGGCTCCGTTCCTTTCCGAGAGCCGTTCAAAAGAGCCGGGGGGTTTTTAAGGGGGCGGGGTTAATAGGTTAATCTGCAAAATAATCACCAGGATAATGATTGGCTGTATCGCCAGAAATCTACTTTTACTCACAGAAAATGTATAACTTACTTCATCTCTCAGCCAAACTACTACTCAAGCAGCGTTACGCCATCATCTACGGCTAATGTGCATTCAGGAGAGCAGGTTCCCGTAAGGCGAGTGGATTCACGGCAGGAAGTGAACCAGCTATAGAAAGAACGGCTCTCACCAAGTACGACTCGGTTCCCTTCGTTCGTACCAAAGAGCCGCTCAAAAGAATCGATCGTACGCGAACGTCACATCACTACAACGACAGAAAAATCTATTAATACCGGGTAAACTGCAGTCCTACAGAAAGCTACTACAGCTGACTAATGGCGCATTTCCACTACACGGCCTCGCTCTGCCCCGCTCGGTATGGCTGGGCCTCGTTAGGACTGGCTCACTTTATGGCGCATTTCCATTAGAGTTTAGGAACTGGGGTAGTAACTATAGTAACGCAGTGTAGGCGGAGCCGTGACGTCATCTTCAATGAGAACCCCAGAAAAACAACACAGCCGTTAGCTGTTAGCACTCAGAGCTCACAGCTCCTCATATATGTTCAGAAACTAGACACAAGTTAAACAAGTACAAACCACAGACTGCCTGTGTCATGGTGAATACAGTCGCTGCTTTATTTATGTCTGTATAGGCCGTTGTTGTGAGTGTGGACGGTCGGAGCATATACTGCGTTAGCTTAGCCAATCTCCATCTAGAAAACACGCATTTTAAAAGGTTCTTCGCCTGCCGTCTGTCTGCAGACTTGACAAAGCATTAATTCATGGTTTTTACTAACCGGTATCAGTATGTTGTTACTTCATCATTTAGAAACATGTATTACAATTAAATCACGGTCAAATATGTCCATCTTGTTGTAGTTGTAGCCCCCTTGCCAGCGATGCTCTCTCTAGTTTAGCATACTCAGCCCGACTCAGCCTCGTTGTCTCTGGCCCTAGACCCACAATTTTATGAGGCCAGAAAAACTGTGAATTAGGACCCGCCGGCCGGTACTAGGCCAAGTGGAAACGCAACCAAAGACGGGCCGCTGACGTCACTGCCCTCTTAAACCGTGCTCCGCGCTGTAGTGGAAACGCGCCATAACACCTCGATGTAAAGGAGAGGACAAACAAAGAGAGCAAACGAAGGGTCGTAAATAAACAGAAAGAGGAAGCAGTGACTCAGCAGAGACTCAGCGATGGAGAGAAAGGGAAAGTCAGTAAATAAAACGAGTCGGCAGGACGTTAGCCGTGAAGCTAACTGATGACTGGGCTTTAAAGGGGCCTCTTTAAGAGCTTCTCACTAATTAACCTCAGAGAGTAATGAAGCGTGAGGACTGAGTCAGGTCTACACTTTCATATTTAATGTCACATTGTCTTTATTTAGTGTTTTGTGCTACAGATCTATTCACCAGATGGGATGTTGTTGTGCTTTGAGAACAGACTGGAAAATGTATTTTTGCTAAGCAGGACCTAAAAGCTTCTCCCTGCATCTGTATCATGTGTTAATAAACATTACAAAACCATAAGGAAGAGTACTATTAGTTATAAATCACATGCACTTCAACATACAATCTTTTACCGTTAGAATACTGGTGTCGTAATGAAGTAAAACCGGTCATACTCCGTTATATCTTTTTTATTTTGCTGTGAAAACATCTGGATGTATTTAAGTTTCTCCTCAAAACCTACAGGATTGCATATCAACGCATCAAGATAACTTATCATTTACCAACGGCTAATATTTAAATTTGACTGAATAGTGCCTAAACCATCATAATGTAACTCAATGGAAACTCCGTTAGCTTTAGCGTTAGCTTTAGCATTAGCTTTTAGCTCTCCAACACCAAAGGGAATTCCTTACGTGAAAAACTACAATAAAAAATGGATTTCTATAATTGACTTCTGCCCAATGTTGTGTCAAATCATCATATCATCAGTTATAATCATATATAGATATATTATTATGATTGCCTTGTACCAAATAGCGCTAGAACACATCTTAATGTAACTCAATGTTAGCTTTAGCCTTATCTTTTAGCTCTATATCACCAAATAAAAAATGCATTGTTAAAAACCTACTATAATAACTGGATTTATTTAATAAACCTTTTCCCAATACTTATTTTTACTAACTAGAGCATGAACACACCATATTGTAACTCAATGCAACCTCTGTTAGCTTTAGCTGTTAGCTCTGATATAAGAACGTAAATGCTCTTTCTGTGAAAACCTAATATAGAAACTGTGTTGCTATAATTTAGCTTCCCCCAAGTTAATGTTATACTGATAAGAGCTTGAACGCACCACAATGTAACTTGAGGGAACCTCCGTTAACTTTAGCTGTTAGCTCCGTTATTTAGCCAAGTAAGACTCTGCTTCTAACCGCTAACGCTAGCTAGCTCCCATGCAGATTGAAATGTCTAGCATGTAGCATTATCAGTGTATGTAGCCTATTTTAGCACTTTTTGAACATTTAAGGACATATTCACAATTCCACAATGATTACGGTCCAAATAAAGGTGATTGTTTGACTGCTAAAGCTAAATAAATGGATTTAAAGTTGGTACCAAAGGAGTAAAAACCAAGAGAGAACCTATCAGATCAGCTCTTTCCTCCATTGACCACAGAAACCACCTCCAGGAGCCATAGGTAAATCACTGGAACTAAAGAATGTAAATAATGGGGTTAGACGTGAGAAATGAGGAATGTGGAAACACCGAAACGCTGATTAACCCTCGAAACATTCCTCACAGAAACTGGAACAACTTTCACATGTTTCAGTCGTTTCTCCTCCGTTTTCACTTCACCAATATTTTGGGGGTTTTTGTCGATCAAAACAAGACATTTTAAGATTTCAGTTTGAACTGTGGGAACGTGTGATGGAAGCTTTTCAATTAGCCTGTTACATATTAAAAATACATGAGTTAAAATATGTTTTAGTGTTTATAATTCACTGAAACACCTGCTGTTATGAATATTCATTTAGGGAAAACACCTTTAGATTAATATTAATTGTGTTTATACAGTGAATACAAGGTTTGTAGTGAATGTATTTTATTTAAGGTAGAAAACTTACATTTCAGTAATAATTGTATGATTGTTTTTGCTTAGAAACACTGATGACGTCTCACTGATGTACTGTACATACATATCTATTGTAAAGAGGTTTAATAATTTAAATGCAGACTATCAACAGCGTCATGTTTCAATAATGCAGCAAACTATTATGGGATATCATATAAACACTGTCTTTTCATATTATATAAGGCATCAACTCCTAATTGTTTATTATCATTTAATTTGTTGCATGTTTTATTGATTAAATACATAAAACAACTCATCAACTGCTGGTATGTTATTGCTGCTATAATTAAATTTACCATTTCATAATTAATGTAATGTAATAAATCAGAGAAACGTCTATATTTATTTATTTCATTAACATTAATGTGTCTCCAAGATACATTTGCAAACATATTTTGAATATTTCTTAATATGTGTAATTCAATTCTTAGTATCTGTATATTATATTTAAACAGGTTACTTTTACGTATTAATGAACAATACAGTGTGGTCATTTGTATTTTTTTAAATAATGTGATATTTGAACACGTATTTTAAACATATTTTCATTATAATAACATATTGTGTGTTGTTTGTGTGTGTTGCTAATCATCACACACCAAAACAATATCCCTGTATTTGTGAAAACCAACAAAATAGAATGTATTTTATCGTATACTTACATAGCAGGTGATAGATTGCATATGATAATGGATTTAAAGGATGTCAAAGGTTAATATAAAGTCGATATGTCTGGTTAGCATCAAACAGCATCACTGTGCTGTCATTCAGAAGCCCGTTAAGAAAACACTCCATTTTAACCAGCTGTTTGGAGCTAAATATGTCACTTTTTCACCATTATTTTAAGGAGTGTGTAATGCATGTAATGTTATATGTTTGTATATATAAATATGGGGTAACATTGATGTGTTAGAGTTGCATTAAAAGGGGGATATTTGCGAAAAAGTCACCTCAATGCTGTGCTGTCATTCAGAAGCCCGTTAAGAAAACACTCAATTTAAGCCAGCTGTTTGGAGCTAAATATGTCACTTTTGACCAGTTATGTAAGGAAAATATAATGCATGTAATCTTATGTATGTGTATATATGAATATGGGATAACATGGATGTAATAGAGTTATATTTAAAGGAGGATATTTGCAAAAAGTCACATCACTGTGGTGCTGTCATTCAGAAGCCCGTTAAGAAAACACTCAATTTTAACCAGCTGTTTGGAGCTAAATGTCACTTTTCACCAGTTATGTAAGAGACATATAATGCATGTAATGTTATATGTGTGTATATATGAATATGGGGTAACACAATTATATTATAAGGAGGATATTTCCCAAAAAAACTCACCTGCAGGGTAGACGGAGCATCAGACGTCAAAATGCGGAAATGTGCAATTGGAGATGTTTGAATGAAGCCATCTGGATGTCAGTGAGGATTTTCTTCAGTTAAATCCAGCCGAAGACAGTGTAAGAGCCCACAGCAGAAGATACAAGTCCTGATAATGAGTAACAACCAGAATAAAATCCACTGGAGATCCGAGAGGCGAGAATTCTCCGTTTTGCTGCCGGGTTTTGGCTGCTGTTTTCCGGCCTGCAGCTACCGCACACTACGGGGTCTCCGCCATGTTCCCGCTCACCTTGCAGGGGTTCATTCTCTGTCAGCAGGTGAACAAATATCCAAAAGAAAAGCCTTGTGTGTTTCCCGTGTGTGTGTGTGATAAATAATTCCCGTGTGTGTGTGTGTTGTTGCACATGTGCGGAGGACGAGCTGCTGGGACTGAACTAGCTGCTGAATCATCTACACACACTCAAACACACACACACACACACACAAACACACACACACACACGACAGAACAGCTGACAGTGACGTCATCATGCACTGTAAACATAACCCGTTCCTCCCCGGAAGATTTTTAATTAAACATGTATTTTTTAACTAATCTTTTGTGAAATCATCCTGTTATCTTCAGCATTATTTATGACCATAATTTAATCCCAGGGTTATTATATTTACTAATCATTATATTTATAATTATTATTTTACAGTAACTCCACCACCTTGTGTTTGATTTTGGAATAACTGCTGAGAAAAAAAATCACTGGAAATATTATTACCAACGTAAAATAGGTATAATAATAATGATGATTATATAATTGGATGTCTAAATTGGCCCAAATGCATTTAAAAAAACGAAATACTTAAAAACAAAAAAAAAGTATTTTTAACATCCTGTCAGAATCTCCCCGGGCAAATAATCTGCGTGTATTTTTAATATCTATAATGTTTTAATATTTATTTTAGTGTATTATTACCTATCATGCAAAATGCACTTTCTGATGTCTTTTCTTCATCACCATGTGACCCCGGTGCGTCAGGGAACTCACGCAGCGTCAGAAAATAAAACCCTCTCTCTTTACCTCCGTACCCAAATCTCTAAAAACGGGGGAACAACGGAGCTGATCCAGATTTGCGTCCGATATGACGTAATATCTGAAATGTGGACCCACGGCCCTATCAGAAAGTTGGTATCAGAAACAATGCCCGACTGTTTTGGACGTAATATGGTCTTTGTTTACATTAGCATCGCTAACACTCAGAGCTAACCTGTACTGGAGAGCATGTGTGTGAAGAAGCAGGAAATAAAAAGGAACTCACCTTGTGGTATAACCGGCAAGAGAGAAAGCCTTTGAGCTCCATACTGTTTCAGAGAGAATCCTTGATAATCCATGATATGGCGTTTCATCACGGCAGCATTTAGTTTAGACAGTAGCTGCCGGGTCCCGCATGAGCTCAGACCCCTACTTTTTAATTTTTAAAGCTTTATACCCAAAATCAGCACTTTAGAAACAGGAAGTGAAATAGAGGGATATGAGGCATGGCTAGAATGATCTGTTTGGTGTTTGGAGCAAAACACTTCAGACATGTTTTTTATATATTTGTATATATCTGAGACCTATGCTATTGCCTAAAGATAGCATGATAGGTGACCCTTAATATCCTGTAACATTTAATACAATACATACAAAAATGTAATCATGTGTCTGCTTCTAAATACAATATGTACAGTTCAAATGATAGTGTTATATATTATGGTTTATAAAGGTATTTATTTATCATATATATATAATTAAATATTAAGAAATGTGCTTATGCCAATTCACAATGTGCAAAATGTCTTTGTTAAAAATGTGTTTTTTCTCAGAAAATGTGTTAATATATTTTAGTATTATATAAGTCAAAAAGTCAAAGTCAGCTTTATTGTCAAGAATTCTACATGTTGTACATCCGGAAATATCGAAATATCGTTTCCCGCAGTCCTACAGTGTGACATGTATACATCAAACAAAAAATTAAAAGGGCCTAGATAAACATGGTATACAGTTTAAAATGTTAATAATAATATATATAGAGATGTCAGAGTAATCTTGTACTTGAGTAAAAGTAGAAGTACTCAGACCTTGTACTTGAGTAAAAGTAGAAGTACTCAGACCTTGTACTTAAGTAAAAGTAGAAGTACTCAGATCTTGTACTTGAGTAAAAGTAGAAGTACTCAGATATTGTACTTGAGTAAAAGTAGAAGTACTCATATCTTGTACTTGAGTAAAAGTAGAAGTACTCAGATCTTGTACTTGAGTAAAAGTAGAAGTACCAGAGTGTAGGAATACTCGAATACTTGAGTGAATGTACTTAGTTACTTCCCACCCAGACATAACTATATACAAATTAAATAAATAAAATTAATCAGACGTAAAACAGTTTGTCACATTTGCAGATTAGTTTTACATGCAAACGATTGTTGTGTACTTATACATGTTTCCTTTTTTTTTAAATGAAGAGTATCCAGTATTTCTGGTGATGTGTTGTCAGTGTGTCTCCAGCAGAGGGCAGCACTCTCCTTTCAGCTTTCTAACACATTGCCTCACTTATTAAACTTTGGGCACATCGTAAAAAAGGATAAATATATTTAGCTTTATTGATCTTAAATGTGTAAATGATCATCTACAGAATAGACAGTATCAAATATAAATACATACATGTCATTCCACTCAAATATACTAAAATATAAACATAGACATTTATAACATTACACAATTGTGCAAATGGTTTTTAAATGGAGCTGCACTGAGTGAGAGTGAGGTGTGCTGAAAACACCTCAAGAGAATCCCCCAAATTCGGTCTGAAATTTGAAATCGAAATAGTTTTGCTATTTTCTTCTGCAAGTATTTGTGCCTTACATCTCTCTCAGCTGTGACCCACGTGATCATCCAGATATGAGATAGGTTTTATTCTGCAGCCTGAGCTCAGTATTAGTCTTTGTATTAATTCATTTAGATAAAAAGGGGTTACCTTAACAACATATTACAGACTCTCTCTCTCTCTCTCTCTCTCTCTCTCTCTCTCTCTCTCTCTCTCTCTCTCTCTCTCTCTCTCTCATCCTCTGCTCTCTCTCAGGCTCTCTCTCTCTCTCTCTCTCTCCCTCTCTCTCTCTCTCTCTCTCTCTCTTCTCTCTCTTCAGTGTGATGCTGTGCAGCTGAGAGGGGGAACATGCATTATTCTGCATCCTGAGTTCAGTATACGTTGTAATATTGTAACCTGTAACTTTCTGACATTATAATTTAGAGTTTTTGGACAGTACATGTTTCTGGTGCGCAGTATGCTGTGATATGAAACGGTAAATATGATTTATTCAGCAGCCTATTCGTCTTATTATTATTGCATTTAGATAAAAAAGGTTACCTGTAACTTTCTTACATTATGATTTGGAGTTTCTGGACAGTAAATCTCTCAGTATGCTGTTGATGTGAAACGGTAAATATCTATTATTCCAGGAAAGTCCATTATTAGACTTTTTATTATTTTAGATAAAAAGGGTTACCTTAACAACATCATATCATAGACTGTTTGAATACTCTCTCTCTCTCTCTCTCCCTCTCTCTCTCTCCTCTCTCTCTCTCTCTCTCTCTCTCTCTCACTCTCTCTCTCTCTCTTCTCTCTCTCTCTCTCTCTCTCTCTCTCTCTCTCTCTCTCCTCTCTCTCTCTCTCTCTCTGTGCAGTTTGATGCTGTGCAGCTGAGAGGGGGGGACATCTCTCAGCTGCACAAGAGGGTTTTCTTCTCCGCGCGCTGAGGCTGTTTGGACACGCGGACACGGTGCTGGTGCGTTGGGATGAAGCATGGATGTTTAATAAGAAGTGGATCCAGCGTTGGAGATGGGGTCTTTCTTTCCTATGAGAGCCGCTAATTGGCGAAGACAAAATGGCCTGACGTTTTCGAGAGCAAAACGTCACAGATTACCCATCATGCCTTGCTGTCAGAGCAGAAGTACCTGTATGTAGTTTATAGAGCATGCGCAGTTTCCATTAAGCCCCGCCTCCTGTCATTAAGCCCCGCCTCCGATCTCCCGTTCTCGGCTCAGTCCAACAAATGGAGAGAGAAAATAAATCTGGATTCGGCTTTTTGCGCATTTTACAACTTTAAGGACCTAATGAATCTAATAAGAGTTATACAAGTGTTCGTGCTGGTAGTTTATTTAGTTAAAAACATTTTTTTACAGACGTCTCTTTCCCCATGTTAGTCAATGGGAAAAAGTCTTTCTGGGCCGGGTGACGTCACGGACTGATACGGAAGTTGTAGTACCGCCGTTTGGACACTACGAATATTTTCCTCAGAGTCCGGAGCACTTCTTCCTGGGGGCTTGCACGTTGTGATGAGCAGCCTCAGCCTCCGCACGCTCACCGGCTGCGTGCTCTTTTCCCTGATTGTCTCCACGCTCCTCGGGAACGCTCTGGTTTGCCTCGCGGTGATCCGGTTCCGCCACCTCCGCTCCAAAGTCACCAACTCCTTCGTGGTGTCGCTGGCGGTGTCCGACCTGTGCGTGGCCGTGCTCGTGATGCCGTGGCGCGCCGTGTCCGAGGTCTCTGGCACGTGGCTTTTCGGACGCTTCTGTGACACGTGGGTGGCTTTTGACATCATGTGCTCCACCGCGTCCATCCTGAACCTGTGCGTCATCAGCATGGATCGATACTGGGCCATTTCCAGTCCTTTTCGCTACGAGAGAAGGATGACGCGCAGGTTCGCTCACCTGATGATCGGTGTTGCGTGGACGCTCTCCATTTTAATCTCCTTCATCCCCGTGCAGCTCAACTGGCACCGTGTGCAAAACTCCACCTCAGCGATTAACATGTTGGACTGCAACACTCGCCTGAACCGAAGCTTCGCCATCTCCTCGTCGCTCATCAGCTTCTACATCCCCGTGGTGATCATGGTGGGAACGTACACGCGTATTTTCCGCATCGCTCAGACCCAAATCAGGCGCATTTCGTCCCTGGAAAACGCAGCAGCGACAGCAGGACGAAATCCACGAAACCACCACCATCGTGTTTCGACTCAGGAAGAGAGTTCTCTGAAGACGTCTTTCAAGAGAGAAACCAAAGTGCTGAAGACCCTCTCCGTCATCATGGGGGTTTTTGTGTTCTGCTGGCTGCCGTTTTTTGTGTTGAACTGCGTGGTTCCTTTCTGTGATTCGCAGAGAGGAAGTGCGTGCGTCAGCGACACGACTTTCAGCGTTTTCGTGTGGTTCGGATGGGCGAATTCCTCCCTGAATCCGGTGATTTACGCCTTCAACGCGGACTTCAGGAAGGCCTTCTCCACGCTGCTGGGCTGCGGGAAGTTCTGCTCCAGTTCTGAGGTGCAGGCGGTGGACTTCAGCAACGAGTTGGTGTCCTACCGCCACGACTCCACCCTGCAGAAGGAAGTAGTTCCGGTTCCAGGTGTGCAGAGACAGGAAGTGAACTTCGACAAAGTCTCTGTCA